GCTGAGATGGCCCCTTGTTTGCTCCTGAACAGTAATGTAACTTCGCTCTCTCCACTCAAGGCATCATATTGACTCGTCATACACGATTGTGATTGTATATGTGACTCAATGAATATTATTATTACTTAACGTAAATATTTCGCTACCGAGTATCGGTATAGACGGCCTATCATTATCCACAAATATATCAATTTTTATCATGACGGGGCGATCTTGGGATAACCTGGCAACAGTCGGGTGAAATGTGAAATTTAATAGTAAATTCGAGAGAATATTTTAACAAAAGGATACCAGGAACGGTCCCCAATCAGTTGTTTTAGTAAATCTTATTTATCGTTTGATGTCTATTTTTGCCATCTTCTCTCGTTTTTTCTTTTTGCCATTTACATTATTTTGTCTTTTCTGCTCTTGGAACCGATCTCGATATACTGGCGAGTCGGGATAACTTTAAGAAAATGTGTTTTGTCTTTGTGGAAGCAGAGGCTTTGTTAAAAAAAAACCTAATTTTTGAACGATGAAGTGCTGACGAATGGCACAGACTTTCTAGTACTAATTTTCTAATTCCATTGGTTGCGCTATCTTTTCGGTTTTGCCGCCATCCTCCATCCAGATGTTATCTACCCCCACTTTTGAAAGCCTCTCAATTTTTCGGTTTCTTAATTGTAGAACCGAAATATTACTTTAAGGAAATAAAACTTAGTCCTACATGGAAATTTTCATTGAATAATTTGGAGCAGTTTTTAAGAAAATGTCGTTTAAGCATTACTGTAAGTGCAAAATCCGAAGCTCCTTTTCACAAAAAAACTTCATTCGAAGCATATCCCCCCACAAATACAACAATGTATTGTGATTAGCCAGAAACCCCAGGTATAATTTGAACGGGAAAAGACATCAATGCTGTGTAATACGATTGTATGCAGGCTTGGTAAAATCAAAGAATACGTGTTATTAGAGCAACAAACAAAGTGTAGTATTTCATGTTTGGGTGACACAGCACCGGTCACTGCCTCAAATATACGAGATGTGATAAATGGTAAGTAGCATGACGAAAGCTGCGATTGTGTAGGAAGGTGAAAATATTCAGCCCGCTAGTATCTGCCGTCATGGACACATGTAAGCTCTTGATGCGATGTGAATATTAGTTTTCAGTATAGTCTGGAGTTATTTGTAAATAGCATTGAAGCGGGTAAATGATTATTGTTGATCAGCATTGTGCAGGGTAGTAGTTGTGTTTGTATTATTAAATAATTGTGATTTTGGTTAATGTAATTTGAGACGTAAGTCAAATAGACTCAGTATTTCCGAAGGGATTTATGCCAGGATAGCTCCGTAGATGGTAAGGTTTTTTTCTTTTTTTATATAGTCGCCTGGAAGGAGTAGTCGCCCATAGGGGTTTCACCCGAAGCCCAGCGAGGGTTAGTCGCGTTCGCGAAGTAATTTTGATAGAAATCATTGAATTATATAAAGTACAAAATAATCGAGGGCATTCTGGAAACATTTGATCATTTATTCGGACGATAGGCAAAAACACTATAACAGGAGCAACGAGGACACCCTTTGGATAACGACGTCGACGGGAGGATCACCTTTGGGGATAACGAACGTCAACCGTCAACCCGAATAAGTTACAAAGCTTTGGGAAAAAAAAAAAGAAAAAAAGGGCCCCCAAAAACGCAAGTTTAAAAAAGTTTTTTTTACGAAAAAACTTTTTTTATTTTTTTAAAAAAGCGGTACTGTCCACATATATATGGATAAGTAGTAATTATATATATATAATATAATATATACTATGTTATTATATATTATATATATATATATTAT